AGGCGTTAGCTAACTGGCTGGCAGGCGTTGGCCTTTTCAACAGTGGCTAAAAATACCCCGTCTCCTCCAAGTGTTGATGCCTCCTCCGGGCCCGCGCGCACAGATCTGGAAACCCGGAGCAGCTAACTGTTACCCTACATAGGCGTGCCCAACGCTGGCCCTAAACCGGGTGGGAGCAGTCAATTGAACCACTCATACTGCCTTATACCTGTTTAAATATAGGACATAACTACCGCGTTTTGTTTTCACACATGTTTCCATTCACTATTCCATAGGACGGTTTCCCTAAAATAAGTAATAAAAACTTACCGCTTACCAACGCCGAGGCCGGCTGCACGATCGCACAGTGCAGTGTCTGCTCTCCTACGAGGGCACGCACTTGAAGGCGTTTGCGCCGCGGTGGTTTATGGGGATTGTAGTCTTTATATAGGAACAATTTTGGACCTTTAAAAAAGGAAACAAGGTCATGTAGTGTTATTGTAGGTTACAACACAAGGTTGTTGCAGGATGAAATGCAGTTGTAGTTTCTTTATGCTACACAAAAAGAAAAAAATAAAGCAAAAACAGGTGTGCATTCCTTTACAATAGTAATGTAAACAATAGCCACAAAAACACTGGTGACTTCTATGACCAAATAAATATGGCCATAAAACATGGTCAGTATTTGTTTGTGACATGTTGTAGCTTTATTTGCACATTAGCAGTCTGACTGATGCAAAGCCTAACAGTGTACAAGACTTGTTTCTCAGTTTGACTTATGGCCTATCACTTTGGGGCACCACTAAGGAAAAAGCATTGGATTTTTTTTCTGCTGCATTTTTTATTTCCGTAACAAATGTACAAATCTCAGTGTTTGTTTGTTTTTTGGAGGGGGGAGGATGTCTTTGAATGCAGGGCTTTTAATTTTAATGGACTATTTTTACAGTGTTGTATTGGTACTTTACTTAAATATGCACACAAACATCCTGACCCTGGGCCTGTGTATTTTTCTTTTCTGTCTTTTCTTTTTTTTCTGTGCAGGCTTTGTGTTCGTTTTTACATTCGTAGAGAGGACCTTTTATTCTGAAGGATTTAGACAGGAAGCTCTGGGACTGAGGTTCTTTGAGCATGAAATGTGTAAGTTCAGACCATTTATTAATGCAATTTAAAACTGTGGTAGAAAATGCAATTATTCAATCACTGTATGTGCAATATTCAGGCAACACATTTGATGTACTTTGACAGAATTAGAAAGGCTTTCATTTTCAAAATTTCTCAAATCACTTCTAGAAACAGTGTCCCTGTTTTTCTAGCTAATCCACAGATCTTACTATCTACACTTTGTACTGAACCAACAGTCCCTGGCAGACAGTTGTTTCAAGTGAGAAGGCTCTAATAAATCCACTGTGCAAACTTCCCAGCACCAAACTGCTTTAAGATTGTTTTGCAGCAAAATGTGGTACAGAATCTGAATTCATCTTTGGCTTACTCATTCACTCCTCAATTGTCACGTGAAGGCAAACTGTCAAGGAGAAAACTTCTGTCACATATTAATAGCAAAAAGTAACGGTAGAAACATACCCTCAAAAACGCTTCAGTTCCTTCTATGTAATTTATACTTCACTTCTTACTCCAGGACTGCTGGACACAATTACACTAAGGTGGTGACTGAAACACTCCACCCTAAACTTGAGCTCCTTCCCAGCCAACTGCCCAAACAAGTCCTTGATCTGACTTTTGACTTCTACACCAACTGCTTCACCTTACTCATATGCAGCTAAATTGTTAGTGTGTGTGCAGGCATGTGATTGGGAGCTTGGGATGCCAGTCTAAAATGTATGTGTGTGTGTATATGTATTTTTTGTCTCAGTTTGTCCAGTGAGCGTGCAGCTGCAAATCCACCAGACCACAAAGATACACATACCTTTCCTATCTGATCTGATCTGCTTTAAAGAACTGAGAGCACTCAAAATAACTACAAAAAGATGCAAAACAACCAAATAAAGACACAAAATGCCCTTAAAGAAAATCACAAAAGTACCTAAAAGAGACAAAATGATAAAACACACAAAATAATTATCAAATGGGGCAACAACAAAAACAGAGACACAAACTGACTACAGAGACAGAAAGCAACAAAAAAAAGACACAAAACAACAAATAAATAACAAAACAAAAAAAAAAACCCAAATGAATAACAAAAAGGCAAAACCAGTACAACTGCTGTGTCTTGCTTCTATGTAGGACAGGCGGTGGGGCCTTTTGCATGTCTGTGCCCAGGGGCCCATTTTTTTATGATCTGCCTATGTGTGGCAGATGTTTGTGGGTGTCTGGTGGTGCTGGACTGCCCGACAGCCAGCACAGCAGTGAAGAATGATGTTCTGCAGCCTTTTGTGGTGGCCAGGGCGGGAAAGACTGGTTCCTCTTTGGCAGGTAATCTCATCACACAGGCTTGAGGGTTGGCAGTGTCAGTCTGTTGGTTGGTCCTTTGATCCAGAACGGAAATCTCAAAAAATCCACCCGTGGCCAGAATGATAATATTGCTCTGTAATGGCTAGATGTATAAATAAGGAACTGTTTGCTAACAGGTTCTTGAGGACAATGATACGTCAATGTTATGTTCACAATATGTCTCTGCTGCCCCGAAGTGGCCGGAAAAATCAGTTACTGCAGGGTTTTTTTATTTTTAAAAAAAGTGATTTAATAAGTAATAAAACACTGTGGGTGTCATTACAGTGGGGATGTTGGGGACATGTCCCCACCTCTTTTTGAAGTGGACGAGTCTGTCCCCATCACTTTTTATAAGCATAAATTGTTAAAAAAAATATCCTGAAAAATTGCTTGCACCAAGACATTTTTACTAATAAATAAGAACACTTAAGTTTTATTTGTAAAACATGAAAAAATCCAACACAATTTAAACACAAAAGAAATAAATATGCATTGTCCAAAACAGTAACATAAGCAAAATAATAATAACAACAACATTTTTAACAAAAATGTTAAAAAATCCCCCTACAGATTCTAAAATGACCCAACATGCATCGATCAGTAACTAACAAATCCTTGACACAGTTTCTTCTAGTCTAAGTTAACCATTCTCTCTGTGTGTGTATATGACACCACATATGAGCTATTAAAGTCCAGTGGTTTACAAATTAACTAAAATGAATGAATGTGTCATTGACATGAATAGGTGCCACATGTACATTTATAGAGGTTACTTCCTCAAACACACGACATAACAGAAGACAGAAGAGCCAATCATGCCCACGTGTGCTGACTCAGCAGAGATAACATTAACTAAGAATAGCTGATCTACAGGAGAATACATATTTGAAAGCAACACAGACTGTCCTTACTGCATTATATTCCATTACATTTTGATATTTTAAATTGCCACCTGCCATTGAATTGTCTATTTTCCTTTACTTAATAAATTCACCAGAATGCAGGAAATGAAGAGATTGACACTTACCTTAATATGTGTCCCCCCCATCAAACATAAGGGAAATGGTGGAGTGTATGTGGACAGCATTGGAGTAAGAGAAAACAAAAAGGCAAAAGCCTTCGTGGGTGCAGTACGAAAGACGATGAAAATTGCAAATTTGCATGTACTTTTTTTATAAATGTTTTTGTATGTGGGGTTGGGAACAATACAGCTCTATTATTTTAACAAACTTTACATGTAGATGTTGTTAAAATCTCACATCATTTTTAATTGGTTTTCAGATAATAACAATTTTCTGTGTCTGAGTTAGTTGTTTTGAAAAACTTCACTGTCCAAAGTCAAGTCTGCCACTTCAAAAACAACGTCTGTGATCAAGCTCCAGCAGTTAAAGTTTACGTGACGTTAACGTACATAAAACCATCATAATCCTCTGCATGCATTTAACATTGTGGCTGCTTATAAAAGGTTCAGTAAATGTGACTAGATTCTGGCAATGTGACAGGGCAACATTTGAGGGAAAAGGGACTGGAGAACATTTTCCAACATGATGTCATCATAAACAGTAAAATGGACAGATTATTGTCCATAACTGAAAAGGGTTTATCTGAGGTGGCTACTTTATCATCAGCAACACATTCATTAATCTTTTCCCCCAGACTTCAAGGGCTTTTGAGGCCGGCTGGTTTTGTCACTTTCTTTATGTGGTTACAGTACAGTCATATATATACTGTCTGCACTGCTATCTGCTCTCAAACTGTATGAGTTGTAGCGCAACTTTGCTTCACACACACCAGAATGAATAGTGTGACCTGACTGTTGATGTTTCACAAGCTTGGTGAATGTAAGAAAGCATGTAACAAGGAATATAAAATATGTGAATAATGTCAGCTTGGATTGAGATTTACTGGTTTATCTTAATCCAAATTTTCGTAGAAGGACAATATTCCGTTTCTACCTTTGTTACACCATGTCGCCCAACCGTGCAGTGTTACTTCTACCATGAGCCAAAATCCAATTCACCGACTTGAGACGAGGCTCTGGGAGGAGTTTCAGCGTTATTCCAACAAGAAAAAAGTAAGTTTGCTTATTTTTGTTATTCATGCATTGGAAGTTGCAATAAGTAAAGAAAGAGGTGTTCAAAACACAGTGTCAAGTGTGAGCTGCCAAACCTACCAAATATTTTGGTGATAAACATGCATTTCAAGCTTAAACGGTCTAGTGTGTAAAATTTAGTGGCATTAAGCAGTGAGGTTGCATTGCTGAAACTTCTCCCGTGTGCCAAATGTGTAGGAGAACTATGGTGGCCAATATGAAAATGCGAATGGCCCTGTCTTGAGCCAGTGTTTGCTTTGTCCATTCTGGGCTACTGTAGATACCACATGGGAGAGGACTTGCTCTATATGTAGAGATAAACGGCTCATCAAAGGTAACAAAAACACTATAATTCTTCTTTTCAGGTGATTATTAACTGATAAAAGCAGTTATGACTACTAGTACTGCCCCTAAATCCTACACATTGGACCTTTAAGAGTGCAAGAAACATACTAATGAAAAACAATCTGAATGACCATTACAAGTATATAGTGATTTATTCATATTTTGATAAGTTGCATTTGGCAGGATATTATCTCATTCCACAAGGCACACATGGTTGTAACAATGTCACAGTGTCAGGTCACTCAAATCACAAAACATTTCCTTACTTTTGAGAGTACTGCTGCAACTCTAATGACAGTAGACATGAATAGCATTGTTTGATTTTAAGTAATTGATAGCAGACAGTGATATTGGAATATTACTGTGCATATTTGCACGTTTAAAAATGTGTTGTGTGAATAATCAATAATCTATGATTCAAGAATGGCTGAAGTTGGCCTATACCTTTTTAAGCAATAATTAATAAAATGAATAGTACATCAGTCAGTCGCTGGCTGGAAGGTGATCTGATGCAGAATTTTCTTCTGATTCTTCAGGAACTGGAGGTAAGGTCGTCACAGTGGATTCTGCTAGCTGTTGAAGCATTAAAGTGATGAGAATAAAATCTTAGAGAGAGAGAGCAGAGTACTATTCAGACTCTATTAAAAAATACAGTGCATTCAGGAAGTATTCAGACCTGTTCTCTTTTTTCACTTTTTGTTATGTAGCAGCCTTATGCTATCAGACCTTAGACAGGTGTGTGCCTTTCTAAATCATGTCCAATCAGTTGTATTAACAATAGGTGAACTCCAATCAACCTGTAGAAACATCTTACAGCTTACTGGGACACTTAATGGACCTTAGCCACTGTTAATTCACCTATGCTTTTCCTGCTGTGACAAGTCAAAATGTCTGCTGTGAAAAAGGGTTACTCGTGGTCGAGTAGATCAGGAGCCAGAGCCTTCAGCTATCAGGCTCCTCTTCTGTGGAATTATCTTCCTGTTTTGGTCCGGAAGGCAGACACCATCTCCACATTTAAGACTAGACTTAAGACTATCCTTTTTGATTAAGCTTATAGTTAGGTCTGGCTCAGGCTTGCCCTGTACCAGCCCCTACACAGGCTGACTTAGGCCTAGTCTGCCGGGGGACCTCCTATAATACAGCTCCTATAATACACCGAGCACCTTCTCTCCTTCTCTCTCTCTCTCCTTTGCTAACACTCATGTCCTGTTACTGCATCTCGCTAACTCGGCTCTACTGCATGTCACTAACTCGGCTTCTTCTCCGGAGCCTTTGTGCTCCACTGTCTCGCAGGTTAACTTATATTGCGATCACGCGATACGGATTACTGTTAATTTATCATGTTGATCTGTTCTGTACAACATCTATTGCAAGTCTGTCCGTCCTGGAAAGGGGATCCCTCCTTAGTTGCTCTTCCTGAGGTTTCTACCATTTTTTTTCCCCATTAAAGGTTTTTTTGGGGGGAGGTTTTCCTTATCCGCTGTCAGGGTCCTAAGGACAGAGGGATGTCGTATGCTGTAAAGCCCTCTGAGGCAAATTGTGATATTGGGCTTTATAAATAAAATTGAAGTTGATTGAAATTGAAAAGGTCTACTTAAAGCGTCACAGCAAAGAGTCTTATGTCAATGTGATGTTTCAGGGTTTTTTTTTTTAAATACATGTTCAATACATGTTCATACTCTTTCATTTTAGGGTACTGAGTAGTGTTGTCACGATACCAAAATCTTTGTTTCGGTACCAATACCAATATGAATTTCGATACTTTTCGATACTCTTCAGTACTTTTCCTAAGGAAAAGTCCTTTTGGATACAAACCTTTAGAACAATAAATAGTAGGGGTGTAACGGTACCAAAAAAATCATGGTTCGGTAAGTACCTCAGTACGGACGTCACGGTTTGGTAACTCAAATGTTCCACCAAGTTTGTGTTGTCTCGTGTTGTCTCCCTTTGCGAGGCAGACTTTCTCGTCTTTTTTCACGTGCGCCAGCTGCGAATGTTGATACAGGTGTTGTCTTACACACCACTTGTGCAATCTGTGCTCCAATAGGAACAAGAAAGGCGTTTGTGTGCATAAATGAGTAAAATAAATTAACTAAATTAATGAATTGAATCAATTTCAAAGTACCGGTATTTTCCAAATGCAGTATAGTACCGTTTGGAATACTCTAGTACTGCGGTACTATTTTAGTACCGGTATACCGTGCAACACTAGTACTGAGTGTCGATTGATGAGGAAAAAATGAATTTAAAGGTTTTTGGCAAAAGGCGTCAACATAACAAAATGTAAAAAAAATTGAAGGGGTCAAAATTCTTCCTGAATCTATTGCATATTTCACACTGCATTACTAAGATGTCCATGTTGGTCTATGTAGCCACAATTTCTGTAAAATGTTTAAGTGTAATTCTGTGTTTTCCTCACATGAGAGCACAAAGGTCTTAGAATGGCCGCAGATGCAAGACATGGATCACATTTGGTGAATTATATGAAGTATGGTCAGACTGACAAGACAGTGAAACCTCTGCTGGTATGTACCAGGCTGTGGAGTCTCTGAGAAGAGATGGTGTCATTGCTGCTGTCTGGTTCGCTTTGAGCAGAGGCCACAAGTTCATCTATTTCCTCATCTGACTTCTGAGGGAGTGCTGTCCTCAGGGCCGCCCTATACATACGTGCATATACACAAAAGACTCTTTTTTTGACAGAGAAAAACAGAGACAGCCATAGAGAACAAAAACTCTTTTTTTCCAGAAGTTTTTCCTTATCTGAATTGATGGTCTGAGGATACAGGGAGTCACACGTTGCACAGTTTGAGATTTTAGGCTATGTGCAGAAAACTGACTCGACAACAATTGTGTGTGTGCTCCTGCGTGCATCTATTTATATCACCTAAACTCCTGGACAGTGAGTGTGCTGCTCTCAGGGGCATCAGAGTTGGTCGGCTCTTTTAGGTGGTTGGACTGAATCTGGCTTTGCCCTTGGGACACACTCTCATCCATCTGAAAAACAACAAACAGCCTTTAAACTGCTTGTTCGCCTTTTTGCTAAGATTTTTGTTAGTCTGATATGAAGCTGGAGACAGTAAATGGTTAGCTTAGCATTAGCAAAGAAATGAGGAAACAGCTAGCCTGGCTCTGTCTAAAGGTCGAAAGGTAATTGGATCTTTGTTTACCTTTGAACACAGCCAGGCTGGCATTCCCTGTTTCTAGTCTTTATGCTAAGCTAAGCTAAGCTTAGCTAACTGTCTTTGGCTACATATTGAATACATGCAGACATGACAGTGGTAGGTATCAATCTTTTCATATCACTCTTGGCAAGAAAGCAAATACCTTACTTTTTAAATAAGGTTAGTATAACTCATCAAAACAAATCTGTGTGCAAACATTTATCTATTTTGGGTTGAATGCGTTATGTTTTTAGGGTTGGAAACAAATAAATTAGCATAGCCAATAAGCTAAGATACATTCACACATGATCACCTTTACTGTAAATCTGGAAACACAACTCAGTATCTGCTGATCACAACATATTGTGCCCACTTTTGATCCAATAGGTTTGATAAAGTACCTGCACAGTGTTGGGGTCATGTGTCTCCTTCTGCATGCTGCCTTTTTTATGGAGCTTCAGCAGGGTGTCATACTCACCCTTCAACTGATCAAAGTCACCCTGCAGCGTCTTCAGCTAGACACCACGAAAGATACTGTTAAGATTTGCAATTATGAATTCTACGGATGTGTACATGCAGGTGTGTACTGTGTGTACAGTATGTGTCCATGTGCCACCTGCAGGAGGTTTTCTTTGTGTGTTTGTTCCAGGGTGTCCCAGTTGCGTTTTGGCACGACATCCCAGTAGTCTGCCTTCATCCTGATGAGCTCCTCCTGGGCTTTAGTCAGGTCCTCCCGACACACCCTCAGAGCGAGCTGCAGCTCCACAGGGTCCTTAGCCTCTTCTTTCACAATGGAAACAAATTTTAGACCAAAATGAGCTTAGGGACTGTTTGTTATTTATCTGAGGAGAGGTGGTAGGGGCTGGGGACTTTGTTTCTTCTTCTGTTTTTTTATCTTGACTCCCCCCAGAGCCACAAATATATTTTCCTTTAGCCTCCCTGAGTGACTGGGAAAAATTCATACCAAATGTAGGTAGTATTGGAGCCAAGGAGCATACGGCACAGAGGGAGTTATCACTAAAAGAGCTTATTTCTTAAGCAGAATGCAAATCATCCTAACAAATCAGTCCCTCCCCAGTGCTTAAAAATTATTTGATGTGCCTCCTGACGAAGTAAAAAATGATGTCTGGAGTTGGGCCAGTTGACTCCAGACCTCGCCTCTACGTCTTTGTTCAAAACTTGTCTTCTTTCCTCAAATATAACTTCGAATCAAGAAGGCAGTACTCAAAGAGTCACTGGAGACACTCAGGATCAGGTGCAATTGAGTTTAATGTGTTCACAGGCAACAACACATACAACTTGTGAGTCAGGCTCCGGAACCAGATTGAAGACTCACTCTCTGCGCTTTTATGTCTGTGGAAATTCTAATGAGTCTCCACCTGTTTTCCTTAATCCTTCCCACTAAAGCCAGAACATAATTGTGTATTGCCCAGGCATGTCTGGATACGACTTCATAATAGTGTAATGTCTTGGTCAAGTCTGGAGATGCACAGTCATGATCTAACTTGTCCCTCCAATGTGTTCGGGCCTAAACCTACTCTATTTTTTAAAAATATTTAACACAGTGTTCCTAATAATATAACCAGATCAGAGGTGACATATATCTAATACATGACTAAATGTGTACTAAATGTGCGAATGAGTGCATTGGTATGTAGTTACTAGGTATGTGGATAAGTGCATGTTGATTAATACATTCCATCACTTGTAAAATATTAATAATATTGAACTGTTCTTTTATAGACATAAATTGTAAGTCAGTGGGCGATGTTTCCAAGGAATACAGTGTAATAAAAAGTATATACAATGCTGGGCTGGGCTGCAACTAACAATTATCTTCATTATTGATTAATCTGTCTGTTATTTTCTTTGATTGATTAATCATTTGATCTATAAAATGTCAGAAAATGGTAAAACATGCCCATCACATCACATCCCAAAGCCCAAGCTGAAGTCTTCAAATATTTTGTTTTGTGTGACCAGTGGTCTACAATCCAAACATATTTAGTTTACAAATGTAGAAAAACAGGAAATATTCACATTTGAAAAGCTGCTACCACAGGATTTTTTTGGGGAAAAAAAACAACGTTGAAATGATTAATTGATTATCAACATAATTTTTTGATTAACTTTCAGTTGGTCAATTGATAGAATAATTGCAGAATAGTTGCAGCTGTACCTGTGTTTCCATCTGCAGGATGCTCCTCTTTCACAGATCCTCTTCTTAGGTCATTAAGCTGCCAGATCAGCAACTTGCGGGCATCACGCTCCTCCCGGTACTGCAGATACTGGTTGGAGAGTTCAGACTGCAGATGATCCACCTAGAAAAGGATAGAAGACAGTGGGGTGGGCAAGACAAGATAATGGTAATCCAGCATCTACCTTCCTGTCTGAACTGAATCTCAAGCAAATCATTTTTTGGGATAAGGGGATCTCTGCCTGTAAACCTAAATAGGTTTTTCATACACATTTGAGAGAAGGACAGCAGATGAAATAAATGTTCAGGGTAATATCTAAAAGAGTGATTTCATATGGAAATTAGTCACACCAAGTTGTATTCCTTAAAAGTCACATGAATAATAGCTGAATAAATGAATAGTGGTTAGAACACCACTTTACAAGTACTTCATGTACCACTGCCTGCATGGCCTTTTCTTTCTCCCTCATGGCCTCAATGTCCCTCTGCAGTTGCTGCTTCTCCCTTTTCAAAACCTCAATCTCAGCCTGCTCCTCTGCCCAGCGAGCTTGAATCTTCCTGTCACATTCCTCTGTCACCAGCCTCAGATGGGATCGCAGTGGTTCAAGTTGTCGGATTTGATCCTGCTGATATGCTGAACAGATTAAAAACAAAGGCATTGAACTGGTCGATCGTGAAACTATACCGCTGAAACAATGATTTTGTAAAAGTAAAAGTGAATGATTGAGCAATTTGAGGACATCAATCATTTCAGGATCTAAGAAGTTGTGATGGGCATGTGTCATTTTGTTAAACTGAAAAAACAACCTGATAGAATGACAAAAATATTAATATAAAAAAAATAGGAATAATTACAGCTGCAGCTCCACATTAATGATACTCAAAGCCTGATTCAGCATAGAGGTACTGACCTAAAGTGTTTTCATATTCCTTTTTGATGGCTGAAAGAAGGGGTTGGTAGGTTCTGAACTCTTTGATAAAAAGACCAAAGACATCACGGTAAACCTGTGGCCAAAGCAGATTACGCTATGTGAGCACTCTCTCTGACAAGGAAAGGTGTGTATGGTATTTCCTCTGGTATCAAAACAATAACACAACACCTGTAGTTTCAGTTCCTGAAAATTTGGCTCATGGGAGCTCATAGTATGAAGCTCCTTGTTTACATAGCTCTCCAGGTGCATCAGTAGTTCAGGCTTTCTTCCTGGTCCAGCATAAATGTAACTGCTACCAGTCCAGCACAACTATAGGGTTGATCACACCACACACAGACACAAAGTGTTTAGATAGTGACAGTGGAAGAGGGGAGATGGTGGTTGGGCATTTTGACAAATCATCTTCACAACAATTAAAATACTTGATCTATTATTCATTATCAGTAATACAATTAAGTTCTTTTAAATGAATGAAATTCTGCCAGGTTTGATGAACCACCTGGTTTGCTTACCTTTCTCACTGCACGTTGTGCAGAAACAACACCAGCACTTTCTCCTTGGCTTTCTTCTGATGTCTGGACAGTGTCATTTTGTACTCTATGGCCATATGTAAGTCTGTAATAAAAACAAAAACAGAGCTAAGTATCATTAAACACTGTAGTTTATATATTTAAAGCTATATTTAGTTAGCTAGTCACAATAAGTTATAATTTTTTCGCTCTATGACAATATTTTAATTACTTGCCTTTGTTTTTGTGACGGTGTCAAAGGCGGAAATTTAATATCTTTATGCGGTGACATCACTAGTGAGTTTATGAAAGGTAAATAATAACATAGCAATTTCTTCCCCCTTTAAAATCGTTCAATTTGGTCCGTTTAGCTCAAGGCTGGCTTTAGCATCACAGGGCACAGCATTGTAACAGGATTTCCATGGTAACGAGGACATGACACGCAGCAAGACCCCACAAAGTAGACCGTAGCGCGCCTAACTAGATTTCAAATTGTATAAGATGAAAACTTTACTCACGAACAGAAAATAGAGATACACTTTGTAATTACGGGAAAATGCTGCTTTTTAAAACGCGTGTGTGCATACCATCCACCCTAACTAGTTCCAAAATATATCTTTGTGATGAATAAATGAACAAACGGGTAACCTACTTTATAAATGCCATATAAAAAACTACAACTTTCAATAATTATAATAATTAGATGATGTGATATAGGAGTAACGGCATGTAAATAAGCAAAACACCATATGCTAAAATTAGTTGCATCGAAACTGTCTTTAGGAGTAGGCATGTTTAGCAAAAAATACACTTTTTCTTTTTTTCATCTAGCTAACAAAGATATTTATGTCACACTTCCTCTAATACATGTGCCACATGTGGATAAAATTAGAGACGATGATAAAATTATATAATGTTATAAAAAACGGTCTGTAAATTTAACAGCTCAAAAACTACATTTCCTAGCTCCCTTTCTCAGTGGAAGCCCTAAACCAGGATGACCGTGGTGGAGTTGTGTAGTCATTTCTAGAGTCAGTATCATAAAGGCGAGCGTGCAGCTGAACTACAGTACCCAGGCGGCACTGTTCCAGCCTACAGTACATTCTGCTGCTTATCCGGGGATGTCACACCGCTGCTATTTTCTCCCCTCAGTCCCTCTCACTCTCAGCCTACAGCTCAAGCGGACTGACACGGGGCTTTGGATAGAAAGAACGAACAATAAGATACAAAACAGAGGCCAAAATGGCAGAGCTTGGAGCGGGAAGCCTGCCGTTAGGGGATCCTGTTTTTAATTACCAGGAACACGAACTGAACGAGCGACTGAAACGGCTCTACCCGGCTGTGAACGAGGAAGAGACCCCTTTACCCCGATCCTGGAGCCCCAAGGATAAATACAGCTACATTGGGCTGTCACAGAACAACCTGCGGGTCCATTACAAAGGTTAGAGAGCTGCCTCAGCCCTGATGGTTTGAGCAAGTAGTCACAACAGTAGAGGGTCTCAGCTCAAATATGTCACTGTGTTGTTGCGGAGGGGGGGTCTCTCTCCCTCTCTCACTCGCACACACTCACTCACACACACAGTATGCGATTATGTTGATTGTGTATGTGTGTGTGTGTGTGCACTCCTGGTAAATCTAGTCTGAGCTGCCTCTCCTGTCCTGTAACCTTGCTTTGTTTCACAAATGAGCAGAGGAATGCCCAAATGGGTGACAGTGAACTCGCTAACCCTGACAGTTGGTCTTATTACCACCACGCTGAAATTCACCTTCAACAACACGGCTCTCCTTTGTTTATTTATGACGTTATTTGTTTGCAGTAAACTGACCGTGCGTCTGACGTTCTCCATAGTTTGTACTGGAAAAGGGGGGCATTGGTAGCAGTAACGACGCATAGACAGGGGTCTGCCAATAAGCTAACTAATGGTATTTAACAAACAGGAGCTAGCTAACAGCAAGCTATCTCTTAAGCAAATACAGTAGTTAGCCTTGTGGCTAACTAGCTAACGTTAGCCAACCTAGCTGTTCCTTGTGACTAATATTGTATTGGGGCTAGAACAGTGGGAGAAGCTGACTACAAGATGGACACGAGCCAAAGTTGTTGTTAACATATTACAATGTAGCTAGCACTAAAGGTAATGCTGCAATTGTTCAGTTTTTTGACAACAGCAAGCACCAAAATAGAATAAAAATGGCATTGTTGTGTTTTTCTCGCGTGATTTCAGTGGCAGTGTTCTAGAAGTCTTTTCCAGAATTTCGTAAATCATTTTTTCCAGCCTGGAAGCAACCGGTCCAACTCCATTCAGATCTGTATGTGCCCTGAGCTCAACAACAGTCTCATGTCCAACCTCCAGCAGGCAGCCAGCTCGTTTTCAACAGCTGCTGTGAGGGAGGAGGCCTCTGCGCATTGCATTAGGCCAAATGTACCGATCTTGTAATAAATCCTCGGTATCGGCAGATTTGGGCATTTTCACAATAACAGTAACTTCACTCATCTGACGGTGCAGTCAGTCACTTATTCGGATGGCTAAAACTCGTCAGTGAGGACTGTCAGGCCTATCCGCAGGATTATTTTATACATCCAGCTCCTAAATCAAAACAAGGTGACTCTGTGTGAAGTCTCTGTCTTTTGCCTGCTCTGTTATTTTTCGTCAGGCGACGCGTCAGGGCAGCCCCCCAGTAGCAGGCAAGCTAGCCTTGCATCTCAGACTCTGAAAAATCCCCACAGAGGCACTGCAAAGGCCACTTTGGGCCCTGCTGGCTGTTTACATCAGTAAAACATGCAGAGGATGAGAGGATGCAGGCAGGCTGTGTAACCCATTTTGAAAAGCTATTTGGCACGTACGTAGTAATGGTCCTGCTGTTTGTGAATAGCTGGAAAGGCCTATTATTTGTTAAAATCAGGACTCTCGGGCAGATAGTCAGATATAACCCACAGATTATTTGATGCATAATGGATCAGGGCCCTGCTGTTGCTGTGAGCAGTGGTCAAATTTAATATCAGCCTACATTCTGTTTATCAGAGGTGTTGGAATTTTTTGTGGATGCTGTTATGCTCCATGTTGATTTCTGTTGAAAATGTGACAGAAAAGACTTGTGACAAAGGTTTTTTTTCATCTAGCCTTCAATTATAATCATTTGTATTGAGAATCTGGCATTCTGACTAGAATTACAAATGCACTTGTCACAGCTGTGGCATTGGCCAAAGAATGATGAATGAGCCCATGTTTGTCTGAAGATGAGACACGTCATGTCATGTTGGTGTTATGTAGGCCATTGAGTCTTTATGGCTATGAAAAGTGCACAGATTAAGTGACACTGCACGATTGTTCAGGGATGATATATAAATAGGTCTATTCTGGAGTGTGCAGGATAATTCTCCCCCTCCTGGTAGTTCTCGCTCCTGCTCTGTTCCCTCACCCTTGTGGTTTGAATGCTATTTTGACCAGTGTGCCAATTTTCTCTGTTCAAGGCCACAGTGTCTACCTATTCCTGTTGTGCACAGACACATTAATGTACCCAGTCTCAACAGATAGATACATAAATAAACACTGCAACACATAAACATATTGACTTAGAGCCTATGATGACACCAATTGAATGTTTGTTTTTTACAAAAACTGTAGCACTCTGGTTCTCAAAGGGTTTCTTTGCTTTATTCTGATGCAGAGATGATATCATTGTTCTTTTAATAGGCCTTAAGGATCGATAAATGGAAAGACAGATACAGTTGCTTGACAGGTGGAGCTAAACATATAGGCAGTAAAACATTCTGTACATGCCTAATGTACTGCAGCATACCCTAAAGTGTTGTCTGTGTTTCTTTTAAGTGTGAATTAATATTTATCTGACTAAAAATAGAATGGCTAAGATTCAATGCATCTTTCGATCATCCCCTAGAATGACTAAGATGTTTAAGGACATATTTAAGTTACCTGACTATTTCTTGGTCCGGCACAGTAACTTCCCGTAGTCTTCGCTGGTTGCCTGGAAAACAAGACTCCAGGAAGCAAGAGACTGCTGTTGTTGTTGTCTCCATTCATTCCAAGGTAAACAGAAATGGCCTTGAAGCAACTTTAAAGTTTGATTATTCCTTCTGAACTAATATCTAGGTTATGATATTAGCTAGCCTCTATAAGCATGTCATGTTGCTAATCATTTCATTTTAAGCTACAACCCATTTTAATGAGCAAGTGATGAAATTAGAGTAGGTGGATAGTTGCAACCTTTATCATTTACAGTAGTACAGGTCAATAATAGGATCAGAGGTAGTCAGTAGCTACATTAGCAGTGTTGGGCTCTATTACCGCCCGTTCAAAATACAGAACATTGTCTCTGGGTGGCAGATGTAGCAGTAACCACCTGCTGTCTGGAAGCTTGGTGAGCCCAAACATGCTGTGAAGGAAACCCATTTTAGTCACTTCACTTGATCCTGTTCTTACTGTCACTACCCAAAGCTATTGGCCAGGTGTTGATTTAACTGTTGATTGGAAGCTTTGTGATACATTTTTTTTTACCCATACTGAAAAATATAGTGAAGTACTTAAAGGTGCTTTAATCAATATTTTTATGTGAACAATCAAACAATTATGAAATGTGAAAAAGGTTGCTTGTATAGTGTATAAATCTCGTGATATGGCCGCAATGATGCCCATTCATTATACCAGCTGTGCTTTTTTACACAGGATCAAACAATGCTTGTGTAATGCTGCATCAGTGTGTGACGGGCGTGAGGTGTAACACAACAATGTCAGCGTCTCATTGTTTCCCCAATTTGTGGACATTTTTGGTTGCTGTTCTTTGAGTTAGCTGCTAACTGCTTCTAGCTGCTTTTAAAATCTAATGCTGGGGGGTTTCACACATAATGCGTCATCAGAGCATCACACCTGTGTCCCACCATGCTGGCTGTTCCTACAGACGTCAATTCGACACTGTTACTACCTCAGCTGCCAGCTTAAAGGTGAGACAACTCTGTTCCCTCATTCTGTGATTGTACCTTTTATATAGAACAGCGAGGCAAAAATAATGGCGCAATATTCCCTCCTTGAAGAGGCAGTGTAAATAGGCTGCTGACTCTTGAGACTATGCAGATGTTGAAAGTAAAATGTGCATTTTAGCCTCCTTTTAAACCATTGTCTTGTTTGTTTTGTTGGCCTGTAAACCATTTTAACAACCATCAAAACTCTGACAGACCCACTGTATCCTACCAGCCCAGCACCAAATGGCTGACAGACAGAGTTAGTGACTAGCTGGTAAACAAAGGATAGGAGCATCTAGCAGCTAAAGAGCCAGATATGTCCTTCAGGAGTCACCCCAACACAAAGTGAAAGACAGACACATCCTAAAATTAATAGCAAATTAATAATTAATAGCTCTGTGTCTGCTGCATGTGTAAATAAGAAGTTGTCTGCTAACAAATTAATCAAAACAACTTTTAAGGTCAGTCATATACAAATGTTGAGATCTCAACTTGTTGCACAGCCCCCAAGGGGGCAAAAAAATAATTAATGCAGTTTTAAGATTCTGCACTTGTGGCAGCACTTCGCTCCAAATCCATTGGGGATAATTCACCTTCTCCTTACATGAACCTTGAGGTGCTGACCCTCATCCAAGCGACTGCACACTCAGAGGCAAATATCCCCAAGTGATGTAGGTCACAGCCTGACAAAGCTAACAGAACTAAATCATCTGAAAAAAACATCTATGCAATCCTGAGGTCACCAAAGAAGATCCGACATCCTCCAGTTTTTGGCTCCACCTTACAATTTTGTCCTTGAAAATTACAACCAGAATGACAAAGCACAATGGAGTCATCTATTGAGAAAGCGCTGGACGAAGTGCCAAGGATGAAGACAAAGGTTTTGGTCCAATTATACAAGGACCTAATTGCTCATAGTAACAGCTCCAGTGGCCCATTATCCCAGAGCCGCCCCTTCAGGACACCTTGGACTTGTCCAAGTTCATTAAACCCCCTGCTCCTTTAACACAGAGAGTAAAAAAGAAAGGTGCCCTAGATACTAAAAGCAACATTCAAGTAATGCTAGAAGTTAGAAATTCTAACTGCATGCTCATCAGTGTTATTGCTAACAGCAGTTTTCTGAGGTTTCTTGTGGATGCATTGTATTTTCGTCAAGTGATGCTACTGTAGGTGAAGTGAAAAAAGACTGGAACAGAGCTGGGACCACTGCATTTAGCTGTGGTTCATTGTTTTAAACCATATCTACTGTACTTATCCAATTCCAAACTTTGTAATTTATTTATGTGATGGACGTGAAATATCTCTAAAAAACATTCTTTTGATTCCCAATAAGTCAGTAGAGAGTTTTTTAGGACAAGGTTTCAACATTTTAAGAGAGTAGTTAAGGCAGTTCACTGTTTTTAAAGGCCCCATACATTCACCCAGATGTGTTCAGTGATGCTGGTTTATTAGACTTCTGTTCAGGT